TGGACGAATGATGGTATAAATTTGCTTTGCAAATGGTTAGTTTATTTTGAAAAATTGCTTTTCACATTGTTTTAATTGTCTGCATTGGTTAACGAGAATTAGATGCCACCCAAAAATGGCGGATATTCGTCATCGTTAGAAAGACTAATTGCTGACAATAGGGACCAATACAATATATAAATCATTGAAAAGAATTGAATAATTACAATATATGAATAATTTAGACATTGTCCTCGCTCTGTTTACAACGCCAAATCACAGATTTTCACGTCTTGATACAACGGCTGCCTTTCAAGCCGCAACAAGTGCAACTTCAAACTGGGTTTAGCAGAGAACTCTTCCCAACCATAAAACCCATGTCTTCTAAGACTGTATTAAATTCATACGATTGATAATATACGACGAATTATCTTTACTACCATTTATTTGAATTTTGAAGGAGTTTGTTCTGGCCGTCGTCGTCGCGTTGCCGTCCTAAAATCGTAAGGTCTCTAATGTCACTCCAGTATTCTATGGAGTTCAATTGCTAACAATGTTACTCCAGTATTGTATGGAGTTCCATTGCTGACAATGTTACTCCAGTATTGTATGGAGTTCAATTGCTGACAATGTTACTCCTATGGTTACTCCACTATTGTATGGAGTTCAATTGACCACTTGCGTAATAGACTAAATTTTGATCTCAACAAGTCTAGACAAAAATTTCATCACAGCTTGAAAGAGCATCACAAAATTAGTAATATTCCAAAGTTTCGTTGCGAAATGTTGTAAAATGCGGATAATATAGCCTTGCTAAGTTTGCCGTTTTTCAGTCATTTTGTATTACGCACGGGAAATTGACAGCCCAATCGGGTGTTGGGGCTTCAATTTCCCGTTTGTAATACAAAATGACTGAAAATTGCAAATTTCGCAAGGCTATATTATCCGCATTTTACAACATTTCGCAACGAAACTTTGGAATATTACTAATTTTGTGATGCTCTTTCAAGCTGTGATGAAATTTTTGTCTAGACTTGTTTAGATCAAAATTTAGTCTATAATGCAAATATAAATGTCCATACCCTTTGGGGCAGACAATGTTACTCCAGTATTGTATGGAGTTCAATTGCTGACAATGTTACTCCAATATTGTATGAAGTTCAATTGCTGACAATATTATTCCAGTGTTTTATGGAGCTCAATGACTGAAATAACTCCAGTGTTTATATATCAGAGCCCAATGCTCGATCCCACGCAGAGGTTTCCGTGCGCTTTAAATTTTCCGTGAGTTTTTCGGTGATTTTCCGTCGTCAGACATTTTTAGATTGTTAGTACAGTAATGACAGCCGGAAAAGATATTTTTAGCACATCGCGTGCGAATATATACACGCAAGTCATGCCACGAGATATAAATAGATCTGCTGCTAAATTTAGCAACGCTTGTATAATATTAATAGATGATTAGTTAATGTGTACTGAGGACTTTACATATTAAATATGAGAAGCATTTTTGGGCTGTGTATATAAAACAAACAATTTGCATAGTTACAGGGTCAAGGATGTATAATCGTACTTGAAATTAGGTAATTTTCAAAAATATTGCTTTGAGAACTGAATCAATCATTTATCTCCTGAGAATGAGGATTTGAAAATAGTAGTGCAATGTCCTTCAACTGCCTTGGATAAAATTAAGCCCAGTAGGCAGTACCAGGCTGTAGTCGGAACAGACGAGCATGTTTTGCTTGACAAGTCTCCTTTGACAAGTTTATCTTCTCGTATGTACAGTCAACAAGTTTTCGCTCACAAGTTTTCGTTGACAAGTTTACGTGACAGGTTTACCTTTTTGTATGTACAGTCAACAAGTTATCCTTGACAAGTTTCCCTAGCTAATTCCCTTTTGACAAGTTTTGCATGTCGCTCGGTTGCACGGAATGTTGTTAAACATTTTTCCCACGTCAAGCTAGACCGCCTTTTGTTTACCAAAACCATGGAATTATTTCTAGACAAGTTTTCCTTCGTCCAAAAACTTTGGAACAAAGTTGCTAGGACTAACCTTGGAAAAAAGTTTCTTCACAAGGAAAACTGTCAATGTTTTGCAGTTAGACAAGAGCATGCAAATGAAACTTGTCAACTAGATGGCAGGGTCAAGGTAATATGAAGTTATGTTGCTGATGGGTGCATCGAAAGCTATATTTATTTATTTTATGTATATATTTTCTCTGGAAAGTTTATTTCGATAACCTTGTCTATAGGGGTATTGGGAAAACTTTCTCTTTGAAATATTATATTTCATCCTACTTAGAAAAAGCAGCAATTGACTGAAGATTAAGTTAAGTACTTCTGTGTGTAAATGAACTTCGGGCCAAGTTGAACAGGATGCAATTAATGCGTGATTGTCACGCGTGAACGTCACGTGAAGGAAGTGAGCACGCGATGAACCAATCAGGAACAAGATGAACAATGTCTGGACGAAGCCACCAGGTGTTTTTTGAATACAATTTTAAGATGTGCAGAAGTCTCGAACAGATGCAAACATTTGCATTTATTTTTCCTTTCTGCGTTGAGAAAATAGACGTGGTTTAATGCCAGCATGCTTTTGCTGCTATTTTTGCACGCTTTGGTTAAAAAACAAGAGTGTTTAATTTAGACGGGTTTTTTCCGCAGCTAAAGTCTAAGAATCGTAGAGTGGTTGTTGCTTAGCAACTGAGAGATGCTTTCAAGTTTATCGACTTTTATCTTGTCCACGGACTGCAGTTGAGTTGTAAAACTTAAAATACAACCTGTCTCGCTTTCTGCCCAATTAAATGCTGTGTTGTGGCCCAAATTTGCATTTTGGCCTTTTCTCCTTAGCTCTTTATTTTGCAAGGTATTGAGTGGCAACTCAAATTATTGTCTTCTCAGTGTATATTTCACATGCAAATTTAAATCCAAACATGTTTTATCAATAGATCCAATAGGGACTTCGAGAATTTTCAGTAAAACGACTACGGTGTTCCGACGTGCAGGAAATTTGCAACGGGCAATTCGTTTTGGAAAATTCTTAGAATTGTTGATTTCGTGACTGTTGCAAAATTTTCCGGATGGCTTGTTGCGTTGCTGGTGGCATGAATATAAAAATAGACCGAATTCAACACACATGACCGCATTACCGAATTTATTCTGCAATAAAGGCTAGGAAATTTAGCTTTTTATCGATAAATTAATGTGAATACTTTCAACGTTTTAAGCCGAACCGGTAAAATTTACTAAGCTGCCCAAACTGTATAATAGGCACATGAAATTTAATACCGCGTTTTCGAACAACTTTGGGCAAGTGGACTCAAATTACTCGATTCTTTTAAATTTGCCTATAACTTTTTAAAGTCGCCAAATATCGTTCATAAACTCGCTTATATTTGCCATGCTAAGCTCAAAATGTACTGCCGACATTAAAACCGACTCATCCTATCAAATTTGTGTCATTATTGTTTTAACGAGAGCTTAAAATAGCCACGGCTGGCTAAAAATAGATCCAGCAGTTGGCATGCGCTGTTGTGTGATACCTCTCTGATATGCAAAGCGGTTCAAGTCTAGCAAGCCCCGGTCGCGATTTAAGCTTCTCGCACGGCGACAAAACCGGCTATATTCGATCGTTAACGATAACACACTCACCCGAGGGCATGTGAGAGGGTTTTCCTAGAGTTTTCGCGAAGAATTACGGCCGAAATTTCGTATATTGCACAAGGAAATCCAGCGATGTTCCTTGCTCTAATTATGTTGTTCCATATATTGGCTGCATACAATCAGGCCAACGGCACATGCGCAGACCACACCCTTTTGAACGTCGAACGGGCAGCTCACAGCGACTGACTTGCGAGCTTCGACCTAGCCTCAACAGAAAGTTTTTACTAAAAGCTATACGACGGGGGCGTTCTCCATTTTTGCTGCTCGCACTTTTAGTGCGATGAGGTGTTTTGGTTCAGGGCGAACAGAGCAAGAACGGGAAGAACACAAGCGACAGAAACACAACAGCAAGGAAATTGAAAAACAGTTGAAAAAGGATAAATTAACATTTCGTGCCACACATCGCCTCCTTCTGCTTGGTAACATATTAAACGTCTTTCGTTGTTGTTTTATTGACCTTACATGTTGGCTATGGCTTGGACTATCGATCGCCATTTATATCTATTCTTTATTCTCGTTAAGGTGCTGGCGAATCTGGCAAGAGTACTATTGTCAAACAGATGCGAATTCTTCATGTCAATGGCTTCGATGAACTGTAAGTCGGCGCTTTCCTTCTCGATTTTACATCGCTTTGCTGGGCACTCGGCCGGTTATGATGGCGAAATTTTGCCACTCATCGGCGGCCCGATGCCTCGTTGGTTTACCTAAATCTCACACGAGATGTATGTTGTCATATTTTAGCGAAAAGAAGCAGAAAGTTGAAGATATCAAGCGAAATATTCGCGATGCAATATTGGTGCGTATGAACTCAAATTAGTGTCCATATTATACGAGTTTTGCAAAGCGGCAGACGAGCGATCTCGGTGCAACGAAATCGCTCGTCTTGCCCAGAATATAAGCTAAAGAACATTTCTTGCATTTCTAGACCATTACAGGGGCTATGAGCACTCTTACACCGCCTGTTAAGATAGGAGATCCGAATAATCAAAGTCATGTTGACTACATACACGAAGTAGCCACAGCAGCCGATTTTGATTACCCGTCGGTGAGTGAAGATCGCATATTTTTGTGTTTTTCTCTGCGAAACGGCCGTGATTTCTACAAAATACACGTCTCTGGTATACATGCTTGCTTTCTGGGCGAAAATCTAGCGAGAATTGGGTGTAAAAAGCGGTAAATATCGCCCCAATTGTTGCGAGAGATTTGTAGCCCTCGAGTTGGCATGTAGACCATAGCGACACGGCAGCTTCCAAGGGAAGAGAACCTTTTGTTCTTCGTTGTTTCAATTAAGCGCTCGCGAACAATTCGTTGTGTTTTGTAGGATTTTTTCGACGGCACTATCATTTTATGGCAGGATAGCGGCGTTCAGGAGTGTTTCGAACGATCCAACGAATACCAACTCATAGATTGTGCACAATAGTAAGTGAATTTTGTGTATTTATCATTGAAAACATTCGGTATAGATGTAGCCAGCCGAACAGCGGCCCGACATTTGTCGCAATTTTCACTACGGCATTCGCCGTTCGATCTCACCGAAATGGCTTCTGGAATAGCAATCGGAACAAACATATTTCAGAAGCTATGTTTTGGTGAGATTTCTGGCTTGTAATAAAGCGGTGCTGGGCTTTAACGGCCCGTAAAATCTACAGTGTTTACAATTTGACAAATGCTTGCAAGTATGCCATATTTGTTTCATAAATAGCAGGCTGTATCGAAGCCGTAATGCCGTCTACGGAAAGCGTTGTTTTTGAACGATTTCGAACTAGCTCAAAATTATTGTTGTCATTTGGGTATCTTCTAAAGATTACCAAAGCAGACCCTGTCGATAGGCTTTCTTCCTGTTTGACTGGATTCCACTGTTTTCATGCTAAAACAGCAAAAAGCCGGTCGCTATTTCATTACATTCATGGCCATAAATTATGGGTTTTCATTAGTTTTAAAGGCTCTGTTTCGTAAAAACGATGCTCGCTCGTTGCTAGGAATGTCTGTGTCGAAGGAATGGGCTGTAGCCATGCTGAACGTTCACGATTTTATAGCAGAACGACCCAAAATACTTTCGTAATTTTAACCCTACTTCATATTGTGTCTGTTCTTTAGAGCATTCTGTGAAATTTGTGTGTACTTCATAATATTAGCACACGCTAGATTTCGATGTTTTGCCTTTTGGGGAAAACCGAGAGATCGTTTTGGGCTTTTCCTACAAGCTGTTGCCCGTTTTAATGCTAGCTTTCCCAGTCTGAGATATACTGATTATCTTTTCATCATTATTCTGGCTTGCTGTTGCTATTTTGAGACATTAATTGAAAAGGGGAAATGCAAACTGTTTCAATAAGCTGCTCGTAAGGATTGCTAACCTGGTACTTTGGCCTGAGGCAAAATATAACAGACATTGGCCAGTGTCTAAGCAATAGAGCTGTGATTACTTGGACTTCCACATATTCACCAAAATACAAGTATCCACAATATTCATAATTGCAATCCATGTTCAATTTTACACACAGCCCTTACATTATGCACATAAGTAAAAATATAACAAACACCGAAATCGCAGGACAGCAGGTTCAATTCCTGCCAGAGGACCTAGTGTTGCATTTTTCGAAACCGTTCCTGGTTAGGTCTAGTATTTTGTATATATTTATGCTCGCTTGGATTATCCACCAAACCCAGCATTTAAATAAAAGTATACTCAGTTCAAGTCGTGCAAAATTGTATCGTCGTACGACTTTGTATTTCAAATGTGAAATGGTACTAAATCCACCCATTGCTTTTCCACTTTATCTGGTTTTCAAGTCAATGGCTGGACCTGCTTACTGTACATTGCATTTAATAGAACAACCATCATGGTTTTTGCCGCTATTTTTCCACCATAATATGTTGTATTTTGCTACAATACTTTGTATCATGGCTGACGGTTTACTTGTCAAGCAGAGAGTGTCCGGCTTTAATGATTCATCATAAAATTACACGTTCAAAAAACAGGCTTTCCAAAATTACATGTTGCGCAAACGGAATGGGGTTACCAGCAATTCATGTTTGTGGTAGCCAGGTTTCTACAATTTTCCAAGACAAATACTTGTCTGGAAAATTTCGTATGGTGTAGACGTGCCCATAACGCCTAAAATAACCAACTAGATCACAAATGTACTAAATATTCCACTAGAAAATATTGTCAAGCGTCATTAACCCATTAAACGCCAGCGCCCTCTCCTTGACGAGTAAAATTGTCTGATGTTAGACAGAGTAAAATAATATAGTAGGGCGCATCAGGGCACAATGCGACTCAATAGTTTATAGTTGCTTTCATATAACTTTTCCCTAAACATTGCGTACTTCGTTCCAAACTTCGTTGTGAAGTTCAAAAGTTCATACTGACATTCACAAGCCGGTATGTAAAGAAAGCCTCTGATTGGTTGCCTAACAAAAGTAAGCCAATGAAATGCATTGTTTACAAACTGGTTTGTGAATACGATTATGAAGTTGGTAACGAAGCTTGCAGCATTCAGGGAAAAGTTTTGTGGAATCGACTGTAAAGTGCACCAGTGCCGCTAGTTCACAAAACCTATGATACGATGTATTTTTACAGGCACATTCTGAAGTTGTTAATTTTGATCGCAGGCATTAAATATTATTGAGCCTTGAGCAAAATCATGAAAGCATGTGAACGGGCACGAAAGGTCATCAAGAAAGTTTTGGTTGTTGTAAAGCCAGTTTAACTTGAGGTTTGGTGTTGGTTTTAAATATATAACTATTACCTTATGGTAACACAGCTCAGTAACTCGGACAAATATAAAGGTCAATGAAAACGTGCTGCGTGTCGGTGGTTTAATGAGACTGTATCTGCGTGTATTATTCTGTTAACCCATTCAGTCGCAATACAGTCCAATATACTCTAGTCTATTATATTACACTGTCTAATGACAGATGATTTTACTTGCAACTGGAAAGGTTTTGGGTGTGACTGAGTTAATTTTAAACCTGTGGTAATGTTTTTGAGACAGTAATTTTTTGTCGAACAATTGTTCATGCTTTTAACCAAGTACCCATCTATGTCCAAATAGTTTGCATTCTAACGCACCCTACGTTATTGTTTTACTCTGTCTAACGCCAGACGATTTTACTTTTCGAGGAGAGAATGCTGAATGTATTAAACAGTTTGCTTTAAATTTCATACAATACATAGCTTAATTTATAGCCTACCAATGCCTGATAATTGGGATACCTATAATTACTCCCTAAAATAGATTCTAGAAGTCTGTTGATAATTGCAATTGTGTAAGACATATGCAGTAAGAATATATAGGTTTTTAATAATAGAATTTTCTGGAAGTGTATAATTTTAATTATAGGTCTGCACTTAAGATATAAAAGTATAATTAGAAACAAGCACACTAGACAGGAATAGAACATGCAGCTATATGTTTCAATAGAAGGACGTTTCCAAATTTTTGGGCAAAGGGAAAGCTCTTTGTCAGGAGGGGTCATGGGAGGGTCAACATCCCAAGTAGATCCCTCGTTTTTTGAAATGAGGGGCCTTAAATGGGCTACAGAGGTACTGTGTAGCTTTTTTACAAAGGGTAGTTATAAAATTAGACGCAACACAAAACAGTAAGTGTAGAAAAATTGGCAACTCCATTAATTGAAGGTTTTTTTGGTAGGGATGTACTGTAACTACTTAAAAATATATAAGGATAATTTTGATGTTTCAAACGAAGGCCCTTCGTAGCCAACTTTATTAATTTTGTTATATACATGTGCATGGCAATTACATTTTCTGCAAATGTTCCAGACATCTAGCCACTCCACACACCCAATCCTTAAAATGGGATGGGTTGTTGTTAAACAGTAAAATACTGTGTGCCTATTGTGTGTAAATGTATAATCCTTAAATGGGAAAACCACAGCAGACAAAAATACCTTTAGGTGATATCATGGCTTATCACCTGGCTAAATGATATTGTATGCCTTTAGCCAATATAATATGGGTAGCTATGTCTCCGCTTTCTAGAAGAATGTGGGGTTATCACTGACTTTAAAAGTGGTCACAATCTTTCAGTATTACAATCTTTCAGTATACACCTCTAGGAGGAACAGTTTATTCAGAACTAATACAGCCATTCTAATTTGTATTGTTGAGAAAGAATGTTATGAAGAATGTTATGAGAGTATACTGTTCTCCCAATTATATTATATTTACAATTTATCCTAAACCTAGTTTACACTATCAAAGTTTCTGTGATCACAGTAAGAATTTTGCATTAGGTAAATTCAACGTTTTGAAGGATTTTTAAAAAATGTTTGAAGGAACTGAATTAACTTTAACATTGAGACAGTTCCCTCAAACGCTTTTTACAAATCCTTCAAAACTTAGAATTCACTTACTATGCGAAATTCCCACTGTGATCACAGAAAGTTTAATAGTGTGACCAGGCTTTGTTCGTTCATATTGAATGGCTCAAGTATTAAACTAATTGTATTGCCTTACAACCACCCACAACATTCACAATCACTGCAACATGATATATGTCATTACATTAATGCCTGCACACGTTGTTACAACACCTTCGAGTCTTTCAAAGTCACGTCTAATGACATTCTCATGTTGATCCTATTTTTAAAACTACGAAATTGCAAATTATCTCATTATTGTTTTGAGTGGGATTTCCTGTGTTGCACAATAATTTCTGAGAATATTGAGTCTATTGAAACCTTGTGTGGCACAGCACGAAATGATAAGGTTGCAAAATATATAGTAGTAGGCCCGCGCAGACGAGTTATTTTTATCAGTATAATGAACTTTTTGAGTCAACTTAAGATTTGCCGCTGGCATTTATACCAGAAACGAGAAGAATTAGCAAGTACGCAAAATTTCGAGGCTTTATTCTAAAAATTGTGGTAGCAGCGTCGTTTCTAAACACAGAATGTATTAGGGGATACCGTTAAGCATTGCAATGCCGTTATTTTCTCTAAAAATTTATATAGTACGACATTTGTAGTTGATCAGTGGACGGGAAGCGTGTTTCTAAAATTGTGTGGAAACACGGGAAATTTCCCATCTCGCAGCTTTGATTTTTCTCAGTTTAAATGGAGAAGAACGTGAATATTTTACGGTCAAATTGAGAGCAAAGACCTGCGCAACCGATCGAAGAAACGCGCGTGGGAGTTTGGGAGAACGAGCGATGATCACTGGGGATACGATCCCGTAGGGCGAGTTTTTTCACCACGTTAGAGTTCTCCCAAACTATACCTCGAATGTTTTTATAGCTGTATAGAAACAAAGGGGAAAATGTTTTCTATTTCTTATAGCTCAGGAAAAAATATAACTCAGGAAAAAATTTTCTAGTAATTTCGTATATCGATTAATTTACAAATTCTCATTACCTCAGCGTAAAGTCATAGAAAATGTTTTCTATTTCTTAATTCGAAGTTCATATTGTCTTTACAAATAACGCCAGTGCAACAGGTTTCAAATGATCAACTTTGTAGTGGTAACATAATTTTAAATCGGTTCTGCACAATGCGCGATAAAGGTCAATTATAATATTTAAACAAGGAGGTAATATGTCCCCAAAAGCGTTTTTCAATTGGGCCCTGAAAGATCTTGATTGAAGGATTGTATATTGGATCTAATTATCTAAAAAAATATAGAAAAACATCAAAAACTTTAAAATCGTTTTATCCATAAAGGCACATTGTAAGACTGTGACTTTTGTTTCAATTTCTGTTCAATCAATAAATCCGAATTCATTGTAATCGTATGCTATACTACTATAATAGGTATTAGGAAAATACCATTTGATAAAAGGAAACATAATCTGTAGCAGTTTGAAGCACTGTAATGCTATATGATTTATTACATTTAGCCTGTGGGATATTATGTCATGTTGAGTTTAATCTTATTATGTGTTTGGCATTATCCTTATTTGATGACTCATTTCCCATGGGAAATTTCCCAGAATATTTAAGGTATATTGTGTTGCAATTTGTAACGTCGAAATGCACTATATAAAGTTTCATTTAATAAGCTTGGCTTTTTGGTAATGTAATATGAACTTTACAGTATCAGGATTTAACAAACATGTTTACAGTATTTGTGCAATGTTTATCAATCACCATATAGGAAGTAATAGTATACAACGAAAGGAAATTTTGTATAGCATAATATAATTCTAATAAACCTTAATATGATTCGCTTGTTACATATAGTACAATCTTCGCATTAGTGACGGACTGTTAGCGAAGTATTGGGGGGGTCCTTTTGTAACCGGAAATCTCCGTTCTTAATTAAACTGTTTTGCCTTAAATATCATGCAATGTATATGGCTTGATTTTTAGCCCGTCAATGCTTTCATGGTTGAAATTGAAAATTATTGTTACAGGTTTTCTTGTCCCAACCCAACCTTTGCTGATTTAAGGAATCTATGTGTTTTTCAGTAATTTTAGATCACCATGCAAAACATAGTAACAAATTCCAAGAATAACACATCATCATACAGTTGTTACATAATTTGCTGCATTTGTATTCCTGGAATACTGTAATAATAGTATAATCATAGCATTCCATAACCAAAACAGCTTAATGAGGGTCGTATTCCCATTTCCCAGCCCAAATTTTGACTAAATCCCATTGTCCCAGAGCACAAATCCCATCATCTCTGTGGCTGTCCTGCTCAAATCTTAATCCCATTCCCATTTTCTATTGTTTTTTTTGCTGATGAATCCCAGTCCCAGTGCATGAAATCCCATTTTCCCACCCAAAAATAAGCAAATCCCAGTTCCCATTTTACCCCTTCAGGACCCTCCTTAATGAACAAGCTTTAGTTGGTAGGGTACAATTACCTGAAAAATATAAGGAGAATTTTGACTTTTCGAGTGAAGGCCCTAGCTTCGTCTGGAGTTAATACTAGACGAGTTTCTAGTAACTCTAGACGAAGGGCCTTCGCTCGAAACGTCGAAATTCTCCTTATATTTTTTAGGCAGTTGCGTTCCTACCATGACCTAACACTGACACAGACAGTTTAAGATTATAAAACAGTTTAATGTCGCTCCTGGGTACTTAATGATTTCCTGAACATACAAAACATGAAAGCAAAGTATGAAATTTCAAGCAAACTCCTTTCTTCAGAAGTTGAATTAATTTTAAACGCTTTGTATGCTGTAAAAGAATCTATCAAAGATGTTACAACAAATAAATATAATACATCATTTCATTTTTCAAAAAATCAACTTGATTTGTTATTAACAATACGCCATGCATCTTTAGATTGTCATTACTGATGTCTAACTATGAAATATCGACGAGAATTTTTGTTACGTTGATTTATTTGAAATTTGTAAGGACTTTATTTAGCGAAAAGTATCGTTATGACGGGTATTTTATCAAAAATAGGTAAATTTAGTAAAAAGTGAAATTTCCCGCCAAAACTGCATGCTGCCGGATGTTGCGTGCCGCTCTGTTTACATTTATGTAGATATTTATCGTTCTACTAAATATCCCTCTATTTCTAAAATAAATTACCTAACAAGGCACGTTTTGCTTTTTTTTATAACCACGCAATATTTTCATCATTTTACTGTTGCTTGGCACACGAGCTTATAATTTGTTTACACTGTTCTTACACAGCTATCTGTTTATAATTGTGCTATTTTTGGAGACATTTTCGTGATACACCGCACCACATGTTCTTAAAATAACTGTTTACAAAACACTTGTCAACTTGACTGTCTTGAGCTCTTGTAGTCAAAGCAATATTAGTGCAAAATATTATGAAGCTATATTTAGATAATTTATACCTACTGGCTGTGTAAAAAAAGATATTTTAGTTTAGAGCGAAAGAATACAAACAAAAAGTGAAAACAAATTAAATATAATAATGTTATTTTTTGTTGGTTCGCACGTAGCTGGGAGAAAGGTCTAGTGTTTTAATAAATAAATATAATATTATAAAGCTGTTGCCATATGCCAATGTGGCTGTTCATTTCCATGTCTTGTTGCACGGCGCGAAATCCATGGCAAGAAACAATAGCCAAATTTAGGATATAAAATGGGAAGTTTATATGGGGATTTTTAATGGGGATTTTCGTGTAACAAAAATAGCTAAATCATGTTATCGATCGATGGATTAATCATTAAAGATGATGCATGCCTTGATTTTATTCACATTGAAAATGGCATGAATATAGACTTGAAACGACATGCTTATTATGTAGGAGTATCAGTTAAGTGGGCGATCTCTATGGCGGCCTAGGTTACAATGAATTGTTTTATCGCTTGTCTCCATGTATGGATGACTTTTCAAGCTGTTTTTAAAATTTTTGTTCCGCCATCAATATTGTTTAGCAGCATTGTTAAATTACATGCATTATTGGACGAGGAGGGCACGAGGCAACAACAGTTCGTACTTTGAACAAGTCGCTTCAGTAGTATACCATCACAAAAGGCTAAAGATCCCAAAACAATAGTATTAGCAGCTTACTTGGAATAATTAAGAACATTTTAAACATGCAAAAACACAAACGTTGTTGATTATCTTTGCGAAATTCAATACTATGGGTGTCAGCATTGTCCACACTCTACCAATATAGTCTAAATATATGTGAGAGTGGGAATTTTTCGACGGAAATATTATATGTTGAATGACGTACGATTGCTGGTTACTCGGACCTTTCTTCTTTACATGTTTAGGCTAGAAAACGTCCTTCTTTAATTCAGTTGCCGCAAGATAGGTGGAATTTATAGGGGTGAGGGAAGGGGTGTACCTCCAGTCAGCTATGGCATTCTATGTTTATAGTGATGGGAAAGGGTGTACCTACACACACCAAATCTGACTGGATTGTATCTAATTCAGCACATCGTCCCCAATCACACCTGCCTAATTTTATTCTGAGGTAAGCTATGACTATATCTGTTGGGATGCAGACCTGCAAAAAATACTTCGTGTTCCCCAGATCTATTATTCAGAACGAGAAGTAAAAATTTAAAATAAAATGGATGAGTGAATAGAGGGTGGAATGAAAGAGAAGATGAGCGAAAGATAAGAAATGAGTGAAAGCAAGATGTGCTAATATCAAAGTTAATATCGTCAGAAATCATTATATATATTTTGTTTCTGTACAAAAACGACATGTATGCAGGGTCGCCGAGGGATTATGCGGGCAACACTTTCCCAGGGGGACCCCTATGAAGACAATTGTAAAAGGGGAGAGGAGTGTAATTTTACAATATATTACACTTGATTGCATACTGTCTGGTATTAACGCAGCTAAGATTTATGCTCTCAGTTAATAAGCAATCTTAGATCAAGAATTTTAAAGGCCTTCGTCGCTTTAGGGGCGTTTTTTTAGCTGGGGGCCGGAGGCAAAGTATTTGACACAGCGTATTATTTCCACTGATGACGAACTGGGGTTTCGGATCAAAAGGTTGTGGTGTTTCCACAAAGCAAAACATATATAATCATATATAAACTTTTAAAGTTTGTTCGTTCACTGCAACCAGGTATATCAATCGTGTTTCGCTCGCTACTCTGGTTTAAATAAATGATTACAAAGCCCAGTCGAATTGTAATCAAGACCCAACGTTTCAACACTCCAGTCTAGTGTCTTCATCAGGGGCGATCTAAAGATGCAATCGTGGCTTCTTAAATACCCAAGGGATGACGTCACCTGCCAATGAGATGCATGTATTCCTCTGGCAAATAGGCACCGTTATCCCTATTCAAAGCATGATTACTCATATTTATATGCCACGCTTTTAGGCAAAGTCTTTGACAATAGCGATTGTTTGTGGTAATTACTTTAGAGTTTTCTCACGCAATCTCGTGTTTAGTGTAACATACATGTTCTGCTAAAGCTGATTTTCCTTATAAACTTGTTTCGCCAGGCATGCAATAATTTAATAGGACGTTCAGTTGCACTCATTCCCCAGGGACGAACTCGACAAAAGCCATTGGGGCCTTGTTGGTATTCCAGACGAAAGAGTCTAATTAAAATTCTTTTGAATTAGAACACCGGCTGTGACGTCATGTGCAAACGCTCTATATATAACGATGGTTAAACAACGCGGTAACGATTATCATGTAGTATGAATATAGCAATGACTATATGTGTCGACAATACAGTTCACATACAGAGAGCATGCAGCTCAAAAATGCAATGATTAATAAAAGAACAACCGTATTCGACATTGAAAAGCATAATTATATATTTTTAGAACTGTTTTTTTTTTCAATTCTCTATTTCGGGATTACTGCCCTTTGTCTGATGCGCAGTGGGGATTATTTTATTTGTGCAACCTAAGAAAATGCGCAATTATGTAAATATATTTAAATATTTTTTATATTTGAAGTGCCACTTGGGTCGCTACACAGCTGTTCGCATCTGTTGCATTGTATTTATAAACTTCCTATGTTGTTATTTTATATATATACACCTAAAAATAGATATAAAAAAAACAAGTTCTTAACTTATCGAAAGCTATAAAGACAACTTGCTGTGGAACTTTTACATACGCTAAGGGCACCTCTCTAATACGAACACATTTCTGTATTACGGATACCTTCCAATATATCCGGACATTCTCATATATTCCTCTGTTAAATGCACATCTCTCTAATAGGAAAGCTTTGCTGTAATATATGCAAAATGGCGCAATTTGCGTGCAGACTTTCGCGTAATTTCTTATCATGTCAATTTACAATCAGCTAATTTCAAAGTTAATGGTTTGTTAAACTTTATGTCTATCTTAAATGTGAATGGAAAGTATAAAAGAAAAAAACTCTTGTCGATTATGCTTTAAAATATAGTACTTCAAAATGGCTCCATGAATTCGCGATTGCAACTTGCCAGGAAACACTCAAAGATATTTCGAGAGAACCCCCTATAACTAACCCTGAGTTACCCCCTATAAACATCCCTGGACACCCTGAGTTTTGTCTCAAGCCACGCGCTACATGCAATCTTGGCCATAAACCGTAGAACGGTGATAAATGTTTGTGCATTTTCAAGACCTCCCCATTCAATGTTGACTTTTCGTCTATATTTAGGGTTTAACATATGGTACAGACAAAATGTTACGTGTAGTAGAAATTTGGGAAAGCAACATTGAATGGGGGGAGGGCGGGGGAGGTACAATATAATTTTAAAACCCAAGTATATTAAAAAGTTGCGAATTTGTTTAGTCGTTCTACGAACTTTTGGCCAAGATTGCTAGTTTTCGTATGACAAGTTTTATTCGCCCTGTATAAGCAACCTTGCGAATTTTTACTTGAAGTGCACTTGTCGTAGAAGAAAATGGCAAAGTTCCAAATTTGTTTGTCTGTATGGGTCAACAAAGGAAATTTGACAAAGCAATTTGAGCACTTGTATGCGGGGTTGTTCACCGATCTGTTGCGTGTAATATCTAATAATAGCTATCGGGAGGGTCATAAAACCAAAAACTTTTCATAGAAAATTTGTTGTACGTGTACGTGCAGTTGATAAATAGAACTTGCTATATGAAAACTTTTCATAGGAAACGTGCTCGTTTGTATTCGGTTTTATCCCCCCATACCGAAAAATGGCAATCTACAACCCATATACACAAAATTGTAATCTGGGGACCAATCACTCCTAAGATACGAGACTTTTGGACTTTCAAAAGTCCGATCATTTTGTGGTTGAACTTTTTGGATTTTTGAAGAGACTTTGCATTCAGTTCAAGGGTTCAGCCATTATTCGTGGAGATACGTTGGAGACGACGGAAATGCGTAATGTAAATGTGTTTATGTCGGTTTGTGACAGTCACACTTCACTTCGGAAATCACTGAAATATTAAACGTTATGAATTATTTTTTTCATTTTTTTTTTATATATAAATCATATAAAATATGAATTTTCAAAATGTAGTGATGAGAATATTTATTTTATGTGGCCTAAATTTTAGAACTCACGAGTACATTTTCACACTTTTTAATGTGAGAATCTTTGAGGGGTACTTGCAGTATATAGATTATTATATTATATTTTTCCGGCGGAGGGAAAAGCATTTTATTTATATATCAGTCTATAAATACACGAGACAGCGAGCTTCCGTTAGCTACCCTCGAAACATGAGAGGGTTTTTAACGTTTCAAGCCCCTTTGAAGCGTCTTTTTGTACCAGATCAATATATCATGCTCTTAAATATAATCATCCGAAATAACGTCATGCCTCTTGATTCGGTGAAAGTATTAAGCTATTAATACTCCAGTTTAAAAGTTTAATGTACTTGAGAAGTTTAATGTAGTTTAAAAACTTCCAATGTATAAATGGACATGAAAAATATTTGATATCTCAGAGGATGATATTGTTATAGAATAGAACGCCGCATGTTCTCCAATTGATCGAATCTCAGGAGTTCTAAGTTCCGTTCCGCCTCTTGATTACTTGAGAGTATATATTGGGTTATTAATACTATACCTTAATTTTAATATAATTGAAACGTTGAATCTAAGAGATCGTTCATATCTCTGAGACCATAAGTGATTCTATATATTAAAGAATTGAAAGATTAAACATTAACACCCCATGCATTTACTAGTTTTCTTTGATGTACTGCGGGATGTAGCTATAAAGTTATAACCCGTGAATAAATAATTAGATTAAACTTGTGGACAAAACTCAAAAATCTTGATCGAAAGTCTATGAAATTGATGAAACCTTGTTCGAAAACCTCCTCAACTGGTTAATAAGTCTGTTATTATATGACTTATATCCCACGTTCTCGATTTATAACCTATACACGTCCGAAATAACGTTCTGCCTTAACGATTACATGAGTCATGACTATTAATACCCTATAGCTGTACTGATATAATTATATATAATTTAAAACGTCGAATGTTTAATTAATGTAAAAGAGCATTTCGTTATGTCTCTAAGAATAATGAGGATGATTCTTTAATGGACACCATTAGTAACATTACAAGTGCAAAGCGACGTTTCGCTTTTTGTAAGAGTGTCATGACTATTAATACAAAATATCATTAATATCTAGTCCTTTAAGAAGAATAATGTGGGTGATTTCTCATGTAATAGAATTGATACACTAGACACTTCTGGTAACATTACAAGTGCAACATAACGTTCTTCTCTTTTGATCTCGTGAGAGTATTAGGACTATCAATACTGCAAATAGTATCTTGAACTGTCTTTGCCAGTGTAGGTAGTGCCATTGTGCCAATGAAATGAAGAAGCTTTCGACCTTTCGTTGGTAGAGATACAACTACCTGAAAATATATACGGAGAATTTTGACTAGCCTGGCCAGTAACTCCAGACAAACGGTCTTCGCTCGAAACGTCGAAATTCTCCTTATATATTTTCAGGTAGTGGCTTTCCTACCAACGAAAGCTTGTGCAAATAGTATTGTTGTTGATGTAAACTTGGAAGGATGATTCTGTAATAAAATCGAAATTTTAAGTGCTTTTCGTCCCTTTGGTCCGAAGTAACATTCTGCCTCTTGATCTAGTGAGAGTATATGTTGTTGATGTAAACTTGGAAGGATGATTCTGTAATAAAATCGAAATTTTAAGTGCTTTTCGTCCCTTTGGTCCGAAGTAACATTCTGCCTCTTGATCTAGTGAGAGTATATGTTGTTGATCTAAACTTGGAAGGATGATTCTGTAATAAAATCGAAATTTTAAGTGCTTTTCGTCCCTTTGGTCCGAAGTAACATTCTGCCTCTTGATCTAGTGAGAGTATATGTTGTTGATCTAAACTTGGAAGGATGATTCTGTAATAAAATCGAAATTTTAAGTGCTTTTCGTCCCTTTGATCCAAAGTAACATTCTGCCTCTTGATCTCGTGAGAGTATATGGAGATATATTAGGGCTATTAGTACACTAGTTTAGTATTGTATTGCCTCCCTCTGGTCCATTCCTTTCCGCCATTACCCTAAGGGGCTGTTTACATAATTACATGATCCCGGTTTTGTGGGGTGAGAGGCGGGATAATTTTGATGTCTTGAAATAAATCACTACGCTTAAACGAAAGTTCTAACGCCGGTTAAAAAAACTCAAATCTTGTTGAGAAGATTTCGTAGTTCAAGAAGATTATTATTGCTGCTATCTATCACTATGGAAGAATAATGTAATTTTGCTGAATCCTTGCACAGCGACCTATTTCAATAGAGGGAAATATCGTACTGTGACTTAAAGCATCTTGTTTCGTATTTCTTAAAGTTCTCAAAATAGATTGTGCTTTATATAGTGCACGACGAATATATATCAGTGAAAGTGCTCTTTGCATGGCGCGAAGATTTGTCTCTCTTGCCCTTTTGTTGTCCCAGCGGGGGTCACTGGGCGTTGTCCACCTCCTTTCCCCACTTAGGAGGTTCTCGCAAGGGTTTCTAGCATGGCCGGATTTTGAAGGGAGGTGTGGGGAGGCGGGCACCTCCCCTGAGATCGTTTTGCACCTCCCCTTGGGGAAGATTAAATGATAGAAGTGAAATTTGTTATGCGTTGCTTAGAGTCTACACTTGAAAAAATGATAACTGCTCATCATCTCTGTATCAAGTGCCCTTTTAATAGAATATTTCGAAAAAAGCTTTGTAGTAATGTAATGAAGAGCAATATTGGATGGGTCGTACAGTCATAATTCATAAATACACTGATACATATATGTACAGTACAAGCATACGACATGTATAGTTGACTTTAATAGGGGGCTACATTCTAACTAAATCCTAACACTTCATGGGGGACCTCCCCTAAATCTATTTCCACCTGCCCCAACCATTTCAACCAAGGCATATTTTGCAATGGGGGAACACGGGAACAAAGCTGGGGGGAAATAATATAGGAAACATGTAAGCTTTGAGGAATGTGGTGAAATCTTTTTGGAAACAAGGGAAGAAAGTAAAACTTTGTCATGTTCATCTCGTTTCCCAAAACAGTTTGGCAATGCATGTATGGTATGATGGTTTCAGTCTAAGAAATTGTTTTATCCGTCTAAAAGATGCAACATTACCATGTATTTACTTGGTAAAAGTTCCACACATCGAAAATAATTTGAATTAGACTCTTTTGTCCGGAACACCAACATGGCCGCGATGGCTTTTGTTATGTTGGTTCCTGGGGAATGAGTGCAAACGCTCTATAATAGTTGTTTATTTTAATGTGGTTAAACGTAGATTTAAGCGAAGTTAACGGCAGATGTATCTAGCAGCGGGGAGCCCCTGACGTCACTTAGAACAGTTGCAATTATCGCGCATCCGTCACTTTGCTACAGCTTGGCTAGCCAGCTACAACTGCTCTTTCGCTCTGTTCCCCTTCGCCCTTTCCCCACCCTGGTTAATGTTTGTTGATACTCGGGTTAATTTCTTTATTTTGTTTTAGTTTTGTTTTTTGTTGTTTTGTTTTGGTTGTATCGGGTTGTTTTTTTTTATTTGTTTTTCTTTATAGGATACAATCTATAGACTACTATAGAATGCGTCCTTTTTTCCACTGATCATCAGTGTGACAGGTGCCGGAGGTCTGCCTTGGCAGAATTGTCATGGCAAACTCCTATTGCTACTATAATTAGCCTTATTATTACGTTTTTTGCTGTTTTGCCATAGCTGTTTGCCATTGCTGTTTGCCAGTTTTGCCATTTGCCAGTTTGCCATAAATGTTTGCCAGTGTTTTGCCTAATGTTTGCCATTGCGGTCATTTGCCCGACAAGGCTAGATCGCCGACTAGCCTTGGCCACCAACGGCACCTACCTCCAAACTCGGATACTCTGCCGTTAATACCCTTTAACAGTTTATATTGTTAAACATGAAATATGTATTCTCCTAATGGTATATCTTACATTTAGCTTGTACATATCACAATGTCAAAGAGGTTTAGTATGTAATAAGTTCTTTGTAGGATTGCATGGTGATAAAACATACAATACTTTTTGTTTGTGGAAACACCACGTAAATGTGTGTATTTGTGGTAAATTATAGGTTTAGTATGTGTTGTCACTTTAACCCTGGATGACCCTTGTTTTAAGATCTGAGACTCTGTACTTGATATAATAGTCTTTGTCTTTTGAGGCTAAAAATACCAACAGCTACTTTTGTGACCGGTTAATTATATAATTATATAATTGAATACTACAAATTGTCTTTTGAAATAAACGTGGCGTATCTTGAACATTCTCGGTTATTTTAGGTTGCCGTTTGGTGGCGATGCTTGTTTTTTTAGCAATTATGTTTCCAAGTTGAACTTAAATGGTGTTAGTACTTTAATAATGTAGCGAAAGTAGTTATTGGTTTATTTTCAGTTGACAAAAACGCACAAGTTGTTACAAGTCTGCAAACAAGTTGTTACAAATCTGTTCATAAGCTGTCGACAAGTTGTGTTCGCACTGCTTGTTCCAAGTTGTTGTAACAAGTTTGGAACAAGCTGTTAACAACTTGTAACAAGTTGATGGCATTATCAACTTGTTTATACAAAGTTGTTCTAACAAGTCTGATACAGTTATGATATAACAAGAATGTTACAAGGTTGACGACACAAGGTTGTAACAATATTGTTATATCATGATTGTATCCGACTTGTTGGAACAACCTTGCCACAAGTTTGATAATATCATCATGCTTGTTACAAGTTGTTAACAGCTTGTTCCAAACTTGTCGACAACTTGGGACAAGCAGTGCGATTGTGCAAACACAAGTTGTTGACGGTTTGTTGGTAGACTTGCTACAATATGTGAGATCTTTGCGTGTGTAGTCTGAATTCAGGCTACCAATGCAATGTCACCAATAAATTGGTTGTCTCGGATTCACAGCAAAAAAACCCCTGAATAAATTGACTCAATAACTCAGAAAACTAATAATTTTGCTCATAAATGTGTGTCATTTTGTTATCACAGTGTTGAGTCAATATTTTTTGCAGCGCATGCGTGCTCAAGATAGCAAACATTCCACGTAAGTTCATAATGACGCATGTTTAGGCGTGTTATACGTGTATTTTTATATACACGCATCGGTTTGTCCTTTCTGGATACCTTCCCTGTGGCGCTCAACGTGGGCTGCTTCGGTACACAACATATAATTAAGTTCGTGATAAAATGTAAATAACCCCCGAATCCAGACACGAATCTGTCGAGAACAAAGCGATGGATAAGCCACACAAAACACATTTCAATACGAGGGCTTTGTTCACGTCAATTGATAAAAATAAATTAGTTCTGAATCGTATCTGCTTAATCTCTACGCGACTACGTGCAGAAATAGTATATATATTCTTTTTGCGGATTTTTAACATTTTGTTTTGCTGGTGAATAATTACAAAAGTTTTTATTTAAAGCCTTTGAAAAGTTGAAGTATATCATTATGTGTTGAGGTGTTAAAAATAAACCAACTGTGCTATTTTAGTTATACGATACTTCAAAATCCGAGTGAATTCTCGTGGACTTCGATAAACTCTCACGTACATTAATTTAAGCTCGTTTCAATATTAAAGCTTGTTTATGACCCGACTTTTCACTCTTAAATTATTTAAAGCAATTATTTAAAGTATTCCAAAGGTCGTAGGTTCGATTCCCACCGTGGCCGGGCATATTTTTCAAGCTCGCCCGGTGTGGATATACACTCAGAGTAACATCACAAACATCATATTCACCTGAGTACACAACACCAACACAGAAAAAAATTATTTAAAGCAGTCTGAATTAAGACTTCTTGAAATTCGAATCGCCCACGCCGCTGCTAAAAAGTTGATCGCATCTTTTTAGATGAGATAATATGTCAGTTAATTTATTGAGTAACCAATGTAACCAAAAACAAAATGGCGGATGCCATCTTACTTCACTGAGGTATAATCTTGAACTGTCTTTGCCAGTGTAGGTATAGTGCCAATCAAATGAACAAGCTTTCGTTGGTGGGGGTGCAAATACATGAAAAATATAAGGAGAGTTACTAGTAACTCCAGACAAAGAAATGTCGAAATAGACAATTCCCATTATAGACTAATTTTAGAACTAGGCAAGGAGATGCAAATAAATCACCACAGCTCGAAAGAGCATACTAAAATTAGTAAAATTGCAAAGTTTGGTTGCGAAATGTTGTAAAATGCAGAAAATATAGCCTTGCAAAGTTTGCAAATTTTGTATACTTTTGTATTGCGTGCGGAAATTCCTACCACATTTGGGCCCGAATGTGGTAGGAATTCCGCACGCAATACAAAATGACTGAAAATTTGCAAACTTTGCAAGGCTGTATTTTCTGCATTTTACAACATTTCGCAACCAAACTTTGCAATTTTACTAATTTTAGTATGCTCTTTCTAGCTGTGGTGATTTATTTGCATCTCCTTGCCTAGTTTTAAAATTAGTCTATAATGGGAATTGTCGAAATTCTCCTTATATTTTTCAGGTAGTTTCATCCCCTACCAACGAAAGCTTGTTTAATACTTTACTGAGGGTCTCCCCAGGGGGGGGGGTCCATATTCCCTTGAAATGTTTTCCTAAATTGTTCCCAAAAAAGATTTCAACTTGTTCGCCCAGCATACATGCTTCCTTGTTCCTTAAGAACCTCTGGGACGCCGTATTTACTTTTGGACATGAGAGGCAAAGAAAATATTTTGAAAGGACTGTTATTAATTTGACAAATTCTTTCAAGACAATTGTCCTTACCATAAATTTTACGATGAAGGCCCGTTTAGGCTTGCAATTTTTGCCGCGAATTTCTAGTGCAATTTACTTCTGATGGATGTGAACGAGTAGATGAGTTATGAATGTTCTGAGTACGAGTCATCTTCATCTGAATATTCGTATCTTATCCACTCGTTCACATCCGTCAAAAGAGAAAATCGCAACAAATATTGCAGGTATAAACAGGCCTTTTATTGCCGTTTTTAGCATAAGAATTACAACAGTCCCCTTGCTTTACATTCATATAATTATTTCCAAAGTTTATAAAAATTTACAACAAAAATGTATAATATATGCATGTAAATATGTTATCTAACTATATAGATTGGACAAATTTTTACAATATATGTAGCCTATTATATTGTGCTACAGTATCTAAAAGCTAAAAAATCTCTAAAAGTTTTCGGTTAAGTCTGGCGTAAGACATATAGATGAGCTGAATGAGCTGAACCTCAAATTATACGAGCTATTACTATTAGTTGATAACTCTGAATTAATGCAATAATGGCATTCCACCCCCACATATAATCGTACTCAACAGTTTTATTAACTTTTTCTTGAAATTCAGTCGCCCACTGTGCATTTTTATCAGATTCTTTATCCCACGCCGATTGCAGTACTGTTAAATTATAAATATTGACAAGTTTAACTGAAACAAAATGGCGAATTCCACATCATTATATTTTGGTCGTTTTTGAGTTTTGCACCAAAGGCAAAGTATATTGATACCAAAGTCTAAGACGAATGAAATATTTTGTAAGGGCCTTTAGGCTTTATAATATGACGAGTTTTTTCGAGTGTTGCTAAGTTAAATATTTCGCATTTTTTTATTCCTTTAAGGAGCCATTCCATTCCCAAAACAACAGTTTTAGTAATTGCGGTGCCAAAACGAATGTTCGCTCCGTGACTAGTTTTATAGTTTCTTAGTTTCTAAAACCTTGGGATTTCTTTAAAATAGAATGTCTTTGTGCTTGTGGTGCACTTGTTTCGGCCGCCAACGCGCTGTTTTGCGCATGCTCCAGAGTACAGCACTTTAGTACTGTGTCTGTTTTTTTCTCTTAATCACCCACGGTGCATTTTGTCTCGTTTTATCCCACGTTGATGAGTTTGATTATAGATAATGATAAATTTAACTAAAACAAAATGACGGGTGTCTGCTTTTGGAGTTGACCCATGAAATTCCAGGCAACAGCGCCAATGGCAATGCCAAGGCCAAATTGTAAAAGACTTTTAAGATATTGGGATCTCTTTCGAGTGTTACTAATTTAATTTCCATGTCAATGGCCTTGACTTTCATGAGTGTTTAATGAAAGGAACCTCGCGTTTACATAAGAAAAGTCAACTATCTTAGTAAGCTCGCCACAGTGAACGGCATTACGGTTTTTGAACAGTTAATTATTTGCTCGGCATGTTTTGTCAAACAAAGAGAAAATTTAATATTTTTCAAGAGCTAATATGTATTCCGAAAGAAGCTTCTCGTATAAGCACTCATTAACGAGTAGAGATGATTTGCACTATGTCTGTAGTGAATAAAAGAATTAGAGCATATGTCTATATTTTATGCATTTTACAGCTGTTTTTGTGGCTTTAAAGCATTATCTTTGTTCTTCGTGCGTGTTACATTTTCTTCTATATTTGGGCCATGATGAGAGGTTTTGCACCAGAAAATTGGAAATATTTTATATACAGCTATTTCAATTAAGGTTGTCCCCCAAGCAAAGCGGAAAAGTCGAATACGAGCGCGAAAGGCTGCTGGGAATCGCTAATAAATGAATGAATTTATTAGCGATTCCCAGCAGCCTTTCGCGCTCG